TTACTTAGTATGATTTATACGCTGTTTTCCTCATGGGGACCGCTGGCTGGGCCCCACAATGTAGGTGATTTCAGGTTTTACTATACTTGTGGGGTCATCCTCACAATGTAATATAAACAGAAACACTCACTCACACACTCACTCACACACACACTCTCACTCACACACACTCACACACACACTCACACTCTCACACACACACACACACACACACACACTCACTCACTCACTCACTCACTCACTCACTCACTCACTCACTCACTCACTCACTCACTCACTCACTCACTCACTCACTCACACACACACACACACACACACACACACACACACACACACACACACCGCGCCTCGGGCCCTGGGTACTCGTTACCCTTTTTCGGCCCGCTACCCACGCCCCTGGACTCAGGCGCCGAAATTTTCGTTCTTATTCGGTCTGGTTACTACCGTTTACGTCAGAACCGGTTCCCTATTGGCACCGCGTTTCGGTACCCAACCCTAGTTTTAAGTGAACTTAAACAGTTGAGAAAGAAAACGCACGTGGGCGGCAGTGGCTCAGTGGTTCATGTTGGTTGTCTACAAACCGAAAGGTTGGTGGTTCAATCCTCGGTTCCACCTGACCAAGTGTCGAGGTGTCCATGAGCAAGACGCCTAACCCCAGCTGCTCCTGACGAGCTGGATGGCGCCTTGCATGGCTGCCGTCGCCTGTCGGTGTATGAATGAGTGTGTGAATGGGTGAATGTGAGGCAAATTGTAAAGCGCTTTGGTGGCCTTTGGGTCTATGAAAGCGCTATATAAATGCAGTCCATTTACCATTTACCATTTATCAGTATATTGGATCCGTGCGTCAGGTCTTAAAGTGACAGCAACCTAATAAACCCGCTGACAAATTATGAGATAATATTAAAAATATCTGTATGGCATTTTTTCATGGAATCGATGTCAAAATTGTGGCCAGTAAAAAGCCACTAACTTTGGAAACCCACTAGCCACAGTGAGTGTTTAGCAAAGCAGTTAATGTCAAGCCCTGATGACGTCATTATCTGTGTATTTTCAAGTCAAAGCACTAGATATCAGTCGATGATCTGCATGTTTGTGTTGCTCATGAGGAAGTGATGTCATTTGCAGGAAGAAACTGGTGCAGGGAAGCGGCTTTGGTCAACGGCGGCTGTGAGTTTCTGTGTCTGCCGGCGCCGCTGATTAACGCACGTTCACCCAAATACACGTGTGCTTGTCCTGATCACATGACCCTGGGCGAGGACATGAGGACGTGTGTGTCAGGTACGTTCCGACCCGCTGTTTCACTGCAAAAAAATAAATGCTTTTCTTACTTAGTACTTTTGTCTTGTTTCCAGTCCAAATATCTAACAATTCTTAAATCAAGATGCATTACGTTTCTCTGTGTAGGTCCGAACGCCACAGCGCCCCCTCAGGTGACGTCGAGAACTGCAAGCAGAACATCTGTGCCGTCTCAACATCAGAGCGGAGACGCCACACAGACGGGCTCTCGCAGGGGTCGGTTCCTGTCCTTCTGTCTGTCTGTCTGCCTGTTCATTCACTCATGTTCCAGGGTTACCTTCGTAATTTTTGTCATTATTTTCGTCAGCGACATTTTTTCACAGACGAAAACGAGACGATAACTAAATAAAAAACAGTTTTAAATGACAAAAACTATGACGGAAATCTATTGACATTTTCGTCAACGAATAAAAACGACGAAAATGTTCGGTAGGGACGATTCGGGAAGAGATCCAGTGGTATCTTGTGGTAGATCATGCGCACGCTTGAATTGTAGCGTGCTGATCCACCCGGCGGGACACGAGTTAGCATGAGCTTGATGCGTGTCTCATAAAACGTTTAAAAATGTAAACGTCTGGGAGAAAGAGAAGTGCAGAGATATGGATAGATCTGAATAAGTGTGACGACACAGAAGAGCTCGATTCGGTGTGGTCTTCTGTGCGCACACACACACACACACACACACACACTCGAAGCGCTAGTACTGAATTGAGCTCTATTTTGTGTCTGAATGGACAAATACACACAACATTATGTCTAAATGTCCGTTTTGGAGAGTATTCACGTAAAGACAGTCGGTTATGTCTTTACAGATTCAGAATGTAAACAGTTGTGAGAAGAATATCGGATGTGCATCACTTAAAGTGACAGTGCGTAATAAACCGAATGCCCTAAATATTAATCAAACAGCAAAAGAAAAAGAGAAAAGCAATCACTGCTCTTTAATAGCTTTTAAATAAAGATGAGCTATTTAATTTGTACAAATAAATATGTCCGCTTGAAAGAATAAAGAACGATGTAGGCTATGCAAGTTGTTATGAAGAATGCATATATCATTCATTAAAAAGAAGACCGTGTTCTTACTGCTGCTTTGGGAGAAGTGGTTTTATTTAATTTTAAGATATTGTTTATGTCACAGAAGTTAACTGTGTGTCTGTATCGCATGTTCAACCTTTAAAATCATTCATATTAACAGGTCAATAGATGTTTTCTCCAGGAGTAAATAATGGTTTTGGACATTTTAGAGAAATTCTGAATTAATGCATTACAATTTAACTGAACCCATTCGATTTTAGTCGACTAAAACTAAAACAATTCAGATGACTAAAAATAAATGGCATTTTAGTCAAAAAATCTGTCAATATTAACACCGTCATGTTCACACACTCGCCTCATTACAGGAGCGGATGCAGAACATGAGCCGGTCTCCAGCCCTTCCCAGCATCCCACAGTCCTGTTCATCGCCTTTCCAGTCGGTCAGTAAATCCACAGTCATGAAACGCACGTGTCAGTCGCTGAGCGATCGGCAGTGTGATGAACCGTGTGTGTGTGTGTGTGTGTGTGTGTCCCACAGTGGCCGTGTGTCTGCTGGCGTTCGCCGCTGTGATGGTTTGGAGACACTGGCGTGTGAAGAACACCAACACCATCCACTTCTCCAACCCGGTGTATCAGAAGACCACCGACGACACGGTCCACATCTTCAGGAGCCCCAGCCTGGACGGGTACTCGCATCCATCGGTACGACGCCACACACACTGCTGGATTTCAGATGTTTGACTTGCTCTCATATGTTTATGAAAATAAAAAATTAAAGGCGCTATAACAAGTGATTCAAACACACGGGATTCGTCCTCATGAGGCTGGAACATGAAACGAGACGCGATACAAAGTTACAGATCAACTGGAGTAGAACAGAAATAAGAGGAAGATTGATTGATTGATTGATTGATTGATTGATTGATTGATTGATTGATTGATTGATTGATTGATTGATTGATTGATTGATTGATTGATTGATTGATTGATTGATCGATCGATCGATCGTGTTCTCTGGTGTTCGGGAACACACTCGTGTGTGTGAGACGCTTCTGGAGGGAATTACACCCAATCATTTCTGATCACACACTTCGACTCCGGCGTTTCAGAAACACCAAACCAACATTAGAGACGCTGCGACGCCATTGGTCCACTGGTTACTCCAGTTATCCAATCACAGCTGACGCTGAGGGAAACTCGCATGAGTTTATTGTTGTATGCAATACCCCAAAATGTGCATACAAATATGTGAATGGAAACACGGCTAATGAGGCCTACGATTGATCAGTAACAACACGAAATACTAAATAATTGAAAGAATCCAAGTTGACAAAAAGATTTAATCCAATATTCAATGGTAATTTAGCATAACAAGAGATTTATACAAAATTTTAAAGGCCGGTGTTTTCTGACTGGGTAATAAGGTCGGGAAAACCTCCCAAAAAAGCAAAAACATGATCACAAAAAAAATGTGTTAAGTAATGATACCCTGTGTGAGCAAAGTCAGGAAGTTTTAATCCAATGCGATAACATTATAACATTAACTGGCATTCTCAATAAAAAATGAAAATCATCTCCAGGTCGAACCGAGCGGATCAGGGTTAAACAGTCCCTCCAGAAAAACGCGATTATGCGATCGCATGATTTAGTTCATAATCAGCCAAAGTCCGCATTTTTTCAAATACGCCGCACTTTCGCCGCATAAATTGCCGATTTCCGTAATTGCATGATTTCATAATCCTCGCATTTTTGTTGCTAAAAAAGTCACATATATCTGAGCAGAAAGTTTAAAAATGTTGTGTTTGCTTCACACAAGAGCAGCCGTTTCCCCCCGTTGCCATGGGAACGTTATGAAGTGACGTAATCACGCGACGCGAACATCATCGAAAAGCTGTAAAACAGGAGCACACTTTATTTTTTATTATATTTCATTTATTCATTTTTACAGAAGTTGTAGCATATTCATTTTGTAAAGCTACAGGACTTGTTTGACTCATCAATGTTTTGTAAGTTTGATGTGTTTATTAAGATCTGAAATAAAACAAGATGAGAGCTGAAATATTCCAGCACTTTCTGTGATGTATACGCTTGCTTATCATAGGAAGGAATAAGGACTCTTTACTAGGGCCGGGACTTTAACACGTTAATTAAGATTAATTAATTACACACTTTAACGCGTTAATTAATTACACAAAAAATTATTTTTAATCGCACTTATTTTTGCACCGCGGAACGTTTCTCACTGGATGAGTTTCGGCGGACCGATTATACTGGCGCACCAACTAGCGTTCATGAAGAAGAAGCTGACGAGATCGCTTTGGTTGGCCGGTGGCTGGGAAATGTTGTTACAAAAAACGAACGGATGGAAGCGTCGATAAGAGCATGGTTGTGTGCAAGCTATGCAACAAGGTATTCGCTATTGCTATTAGCAAAAATTGCACTGGTCTGCTGGACTTGGTTGAACAAAAATAAACAATATTGCTTATGTATGCAGTCATTATTCAATGGTATACTAAAAATCCATGTGAAAAAAATTACTTCTCACTGTTCTCAGGTCAAATATTTATGCGATTAAAATGCGATTAATTTCGATTAATTAATTACAAAGCCTCTAATTAATTAGATACATTTTTTTAATCGAGTCCCGGCCCTACTCTTTACATTAAGGTAGTAGCCTAGTGAGAACAGGGTGTTGGGGGAATCACTTTTTTTTTCTCTTTTTCATCAAACCGCAGTTTTTGCAAGTTCCTGCAATTTCATCGCACAAAATTGCGTAAATATTCCGCATATTCCATCGCATTTTTAAAGAAAACGGGCCGCATAATCAAGGATTTTTGCCCACAACAATCACAAAAAAACTCGTTTTTCTGGAAGGACTGGTTAAATGTCGATAATCCACAGTGTGGATAATGGAGTGTGTTCGCTGGATTCTGTTTAATGTGTGTGTGTTTGTGTGTCAGTGTCAGATGATCAGCATGGATGAAGACGCCGCCTGACGCTCCTCCAGAAACACTGTAAACGCTGCTGTGAAACTGAAGGACTCGTCCTGATGTGCCTCGTGACTCCAGGATCAAGCCTTTTCATGTTAAACATCATGAGGAATGAAGACACACACACACACACACACACACTCGTATCTAATGAATGTTCATCGCTCTTCCGCTCGATGTCAGGAGAGTGTATGAGACTCGTGGCTTTGCACACTCCAAACACGCGCTTTTAAGATCCAGTTATTGAAGGTATTACCACTTTTTTTTTTTTACATTTACTGTAAACGATCCTTGTAAATATGGATGATTATGTAAATGTGGAGGGACGGGTGTCTCTCTTCTTGCACTATATATGTTCTCTGTCACGTAGGCTTTATTTATTTCTCTCTCACAGACACACTTGAACGATCCTTTGTCTCAGTTTTTATAAATGCACAGCGCTGCTTTAGTAATAAGAGCGATTCGTTCGCTTCTGTAGGGCCTTAAACCAGCGAACGTGCCTGATGTACAGCATGATGTGTCGTAGTGTTTGAACGCACAGAATTCCCCATGATGCCTTTGAACCGGTCCTCAGGGTCTGTGATTCAGGTGACCTCTGACCTCAGCTGTCCGTGCTTCGGTTGGTTCAGTTTGAGTCATGTTCTGTATGTTATCTGGAGATGAAGAATCACAAACGCTCCTTAAATATCTGCAGTAAATGGAAATACTCGCCTTGATCACACAGACTTTGTACGAAGAAAACTTTTATTTATTGTGTAAATGTGTGATTTCTGTTTTTTTGTGTTGAATTTTTTGCTGTTCTCTTTTAAATACGTTGTGATTTGAAATGTCATCCAAAAAAAAACTTCCTGCACTACAAAAGAAACGAACCTGTGCGTCATGTGACGACATTCAGGGACTTTTATAGTTTATGAAGGACATTTGAAGAAGATTTGTGAGGTTTTCAGTCGGTCTTGAATCGATTCTGTTACGGTTGATGGGTCATTTGTGATCTGTTTTACTTTTGTCAAGGTTTTATTGACCTGTTTGAGTTTTAATTCGTTATCTCAGGACTGATGATCATGTGATCCGAATGTTCTACAGGTTTAAAGAAACGAATTACACCCAAAGAAACAACTGAACTGTTGTTGGCATTGTTAAATAAATGTACGTTTTGAGACCAGAAATCTGCTGTTGTTCTGTTATTATTCCCTCTGGCTTTTTATTTTTTAGTAATATTAATAGATTGTTCATTAAACGTTTTAATAACTTTCTTAAAACTTTAGCACAAAACATTATTTATACATCATTCATGGAGTGTTTTTATTCCCCATCAATGTTTTTTTTTTAACCCTCTGGTGCTGTTTGTGTCTGTCAAAAAATTTATTTATTTTTTCAATGAAATGATTCTACTATATTTTAGTTCGATAATATTTTTTTATTTAATATTTTGTATTTTTAGGGGATTTTATGGTACTTAATTATATTTATGCAGTAGTTAAACTCATAAATCCTGAATGCTTTACAGCGACAGACTGAAGTTTGGTCTCTTTTTAAAGACGACACTTGGCAAATTATTGCTGAAGTGAAAAATGTTTTAAAAAGTGAACTTTAAAAAAGCTGTAAAATCTTACATTTATTGTTATGAAAAATGTTTTCCATTTTCAGTTTTTATTTGAACTATTTTCCAAAACTCGTTTTACTCTAAAACTGAGAAAATCAAAGCCATAACCAAATCTGAGGTTGATATCTCAGTAATTGAGCGTTCAGTGAGTGTGTGCGGCTGCAGTACCGAACGCTTCCACTAGAGGAAACTCCATTCATTTACAATGCGCTCGTTTTCCACCGCGAGCAATACAAATGTGACAATTTTTTTCAGGACCATTTAACCTTTTAAAATCACATGATTTTTTATGTTAACACAGTAATGCTAAAACCTTCACCAAGTGTCGGACCATTCCGATGAAGAAAAAAAAAAAAAAAAAAAATGTCGGTCGAAATGACTGAACAGAACCAGAGGGTGTAACTACTTGTTTCAGAGAAAATTAAAAAAGTAACATTCCCATAATGTTTGACGAATGATACAATGGAATGTTCCTTTAACGTTCGCATAACCAAGAAAAAATCTCGTTTGTTCAGAGAACATTCAGAAATAAAGCAAAACGTTCTAATAACATGTTTTCGTTAGTCATTTATCGGCAGGTTCAGTCAGTCCTACTGGAGTTCAGTGTGTATAAAGACCACAACCCATTACCAGCCCTGACCTTTAACCTCCTCATCCGTTTTCATTCATTATTAAACGCTCATAGTGGCTTTTGTTCTGTCCAGTCATATATTCACTCACCTTTGCATATTTCATGAGCTAGTCAATATCACGTGACTGACCTTTTACTCGCATTCTCCAGTATTTTATCATCGATTCCATCAGTTTCAGATGCTTTTTACACGATGATGGGATTTGAAGTAGGCTAGTATGTCGTGTTCATCACAGGATTTGTTCACTAATGTCTGGCATGTTGTTCAACCGGACAAGAGACAATCAAGACGACAGCCTTTGTGTTCGTTATGTACAAATCTTTATCTTATCAATACAGTGATACATGTGTGACTCATGAGCATTAGGTGTGGCATTCACTCATATTACCACATAGAACCATGTTTATTTACGGTTTTTATATATAGTTTTATTTATAGAACCAAAGGCACTTCCTTTTTGTAAAAAAAAAAACATCATTTTTTTGTATGTTTTTACTCCGCTAACAAAAATATGTTCTGAGAACATTTTGCTAACATTCCCAGCTATTTCTGAATGTTATCTGAGCATTCAAAACGTCTATACAAACATTAGAAAACATTTAGGGAACGTTTCAGAAAGAAAAATGTATAAATAAATGTTTTTCTGCAATATATTTTTATATTACAATTGTTTAGTGGGAGAACGTTTGTTCATAACTCTGAGAGAGCCTTGCCAGAACGTTATAAGATAGCTGGATTATATCGAAATTCAGCATTGCTCGTTTATATTAAATTGCTTGTATTCTTAATTTGCCTGAGTTTGATGCACTCTTGCACACTCTTCATCTGTCCGGCCCACAATGCTTTTGCTGTCTGCCAAATGACTAATCAATTTAGATCCACGTGAAACATTGTAGACTGTCCACAGAAATGCATGTTTTCCATCAACAGTTCTGCTGAGGAGCTCCGCGTGCAGGTGAATAATGACGCCGCGTCCAATCAGCAGCTCAGAACGTTAGAATATTCTCATTCTCAAGATCTCATTGGTCAGTGTCATCGTGGTGGGCGGAGTTCACATCTCACACCACAACAGTGATGCGGCGTGAGGGCGTGTCTTGTGTGTGTGTGTGTGTGTGTGTGTGTGTGTGTGCTCTTGTTTTTATTACATTGTGAGGACCAAATGTCCCCACAAGAATAGTAAAACGTGAAATCACCTACATTGTGAGGACTAGCCAATGGTCCCCACAAGGGAAATTGATTAATGAACATACTTGATGATGTTTTTTAGAAAATGTAAAAAAGCAGAAAGTTTTCTGTGATGGGTAGGGTTAGTGTGTGTGTGTGTGTGTGTGTGTGTGTGTGTGTGTGTGTGTGTGTGTGTGTGTGTGTGTGTGTGTGTGTGTGTGTGTGTGTGTGTGTGTGTGTGATGGGTAGGTTTAGGGGTAGGGTTAGTGTAAGGGGACAGAATATACAGTTTGTTCAGTATAAAAACCATTACGTCTATGGAGAGTCCCCACAAAGATAGCGAACCAGACTGTGTGTGTGTGTGTGTGTGTGTGTGTGTGTGTGTCTGTGTCGGTGTGGGTGTGGGTGTGTGTGTGTGTCATGATAATGATAAACTGAGAATTCAATGCAGATTTTAAGTCACCAGATCTTTTTTTAATGTTCTGTGATTTCTGTTTGACGCAGTCTCGTGATTCATTACCGACGCCTCAATGAATTAACAATAAATATTAACAATGCCTAATAATTTTGTATATTCTTGTTTCATTTATTTTTTTAATGATGTGCTCCAGTGTTGTTTAATATATATGCTCTTCTTGTACAGTTTTGCATGAGTCTTATTTTTAAAAAGAAAACACATAGGCTATAAAACTGGACAAGTTAATTAAATCGAATTGAAAGCAGAGCCAGTGTCCTGGAGTAATAAATAACACCGCGATCAATACTTTCACTGGGTCACTGTATGTGTGATGATGAATGTTTGCAGTTGCTGTTGGACACCAGACAATGAGGACATTTCATGTGCTTGTTGTTACTGAACCCCACGAGATCAGATTTCCTTCCCAAAGGCATTGAAGTCTATCAGGAACACTTAGGTTCTGTGTAGAAGCACATTTATTACTCACACTTTACACCGTTCCCGGCATGCATTCGCATAAAATACTCATTTATTCCTCATGTTATCCTAGCATCATGTTCATCTTTCACACAGCATGACAATCAGGATGATATTGTAATGGATTAACAGGGCTGGTGTTTTGCTGGCACTGAATATATACAATAATAATAATAATACATTTTATTTGTAATGCACCTTTCTCAAACTCAAAGCGCTACAGCATGTACAGAACAAAATACAGTATACAAAATACAGTAATAAGTTATAAATTAAAAGCTTGACTTAAAAGATGCATCTTAAGAAGTTTCTTAAAACAATCCAGAGAAGCTGCATTATATGTACA